TCATATAATATTAAAACCATTTTTATATATAAATAATAATGAGAACGATATAATATTATAATCCAATTATTAGCTGTTGCTGTCAATAACCTCTTGCCATCTTTCGAGTAGTAGTTTGATCCAGCACCAATAAAATGATTAATCTTTTAAAATAATCCACTCAAGTAGCACATAAACGTTCGAGAAACGTTCACTTTACGTTCACTTGGTTTGGTAAATTTTAATTNTAATTGCTAAAGATACTAATATATTAATATCTTTTAGCAATTAATAAATTTAATTTAATGAAAGATATTGATATACTAATATATTAATATCTTTTAGAAATTAATAAATTTAATTTAATGAAAGATATTAATATATTAATATATTAGTTATTATCTTTTACCAATTAATATTTTTAAATTAAATTTATTAATTAAAATATATTAATATATTAATATCTTTTAACAAATAATATTTTTAAATTAAATTTACCAAACCAAGTGAACGTAAAGCGAACGTCCCTCGAACGTTTACATGCTACTTGAGTGTATTATTTTAAAAGATTAGTCATTTTATTGGTGCGTGATCAAACTACTACTCCATATATACTACTTGATATAATATATATTAATATATTTATATCTTTAGCAATTAATATATTTTTTTAATAATTTGTTATAAATAGACATAATCAAACTTCAAAATGTATATATTTTAATTAAAAACTGGAATTGTAACAGAGCAGCATAATTGTGATACTTTTGCTACGTAAGATATATATTAAAAGTTCTAAAACGTATGGTCTTCAAACGTTCCCACTTTGATTGAATATAACCAATCCAAGTGAACGTAAAGTGAGGGTTCCTCAAACGTTTACGTGCTGCTTGGGTTGACTTTTTCGTGTGGAAGTTTTGCTTCGATGTAATTTGTAGCAGTTCATCTCATTGTCCACACGATCTTTTGCGCTCTACATTGTTATACACAATCCACTTTTTGTCGGCCATTATCATTTAAAAAATAGAAGTTTTCATTACGTTTTAGCAATAAATTGCAGATGGAGATGCGGTCCATTAAATATTTCGCTCAAATTTTAAAGTATCCAAATATCGTACCGAGACACGTAGCCAAACGTATGCAAGTAGTTCGGTTTCTTGAAATACGTTGAATATCTCTGTGATCTCTCGTGTTATATAACATGGGTTATTTTCGATCAGTCTTGATTTAGTCGACATCAACCACTAATGGCCTACCTGAACGTATTACCATCTTCACATGTCATATCATCAGCACGAAATTTCGCAAACCAGTTTTGGCACACACGTTCGCTTACAGCATTTTCTCCATACACAGCATATATCTTTTTTTTTTAATTTATGTCACATTTTTCCCTGTGCGAAAATAGAAAAGCATCAAACACTGAAAATACTATTTTACTCCATGTTTACAACGTCACCAAATAAAAATTATTGAATCGATTTCGACAGATAACAGCTTAAAATACGCAGAAAAACCCAACCTTTCAGAAAAATATATGGTGTCAGATATTGAATGAAAATTGCACTAAACACTTCTTCTTAACGACATTTGCCCACAAAATACGAAAATACTTTTTACTTTACCCAATAGAGTAAATTACCAAAAGTTTCGGTCTAATATGTAAAGAATGAGTCCACATGTAAGAATGATATCCACATAAAGCTCTTAATTCCTAATGTTTAATTCGATCGTAGATCTTTCTTTTCTTCAATACATACAAATTGTTAGTCTAGGAGAATGAATAAATGGTAATGAATCGATTGCCAAATAAATAATCAGATACAAATTTGAAGGTACGAAATTTGAATCTCAGTTAAAAATTTTGGAATGAGAATATTATATAATTTTTTCAGAGTGTAGAATTAGTACATGCAGCATACCGCATACAGCATAACCGAGATCGTTAATAATTATCATGTGTCGAACTCGGTCGCCATTACGCATCAGCGCCGGCGAATTCTATTCCTTCAAACGAGAACTTTTTAATGAAGTAAGTACAATACATGAATTGTGATTTACGTAAATATCACTACTTTTTTTCTGTATTATATTAACCCTTAGCTGACACACGGGGTTAAAAGTACCCCAGAGTGTTTTTGAATAATGAATGCTTTTTCATAGTTGCGCGCCAAATTTGGTTCTGTAGCGTCACCTAGTATTAGTCTAGGCTTGACCCAAGATATTTGTGCTATAACGGTAGTTTAGTTAAGCATCATCTGCCGTAGAGAGCACGTTAAAAATCGGGGTTCAAAATACGTGTGTCAGCTAAGGGTTAAATCTGTTCATATTTTTCTGTCACCTATAAACTCGCATTTTTAACATTCCTGATCCTTTGCCGTGGTCGTCTTGATTTATATTGTTATTGTTGGGATGCGGCGGGTTGAGGATGTACCACACTCGAGTTACACGAACGAAAGAATTACTTTTATTCGTTGACACTGCGCGTATACAATTATAAGAATCAGAAATAAAGAGGTGGGTTAAACATGAACCAATGTGCACGCGACCAAGCAGTAGACTAAAGGGGAGAGAACCAAGAAAAGGGATTTTCTAGACCTCCACCTAGCGACAAACATTGTCACTCCAGTGCTAGTCACCGGCTGAGAACAAGCACGCATAGATATACCATTCTGACAGTTATAAACGAGGAAATATATATTCAAAATTCTTGAAAATAGAAAAAATGAAAAGATATATCTTAAAATGACACGTGATCGATTGAACAAATTTGTAAAACACTTCAAAAATTCTTCTTTTGTTCTAATAATTAGTGAAATTAACGTTACAAAATCATGTAGTTAAAAGGTAGGTTATATACCACGTTAATTTTACAGTTATTGACTATTAGGGTAGAAAGAAAGTTTCCAAAACATTTTACAGATCTATTTTATCAATCTTAAATATCATTTCATAAATATATTTTTGCACTACGGTATATTTTGCAAGAATTTTGAGCATGAATTTTCTTGCCTCTGACGTTGTAAATCTAGGTAGTCGCGGCAAGGGAATAAGAAAAAACCTTAAACTAAGTGATGAAAAATCGATTCGCCGCTATTCATCGAAATTCCTACTAACATAGAAAATTTTATCGTAAAAATTAGAAAAGACACGCTTTTGCAAATATATAATATGCACACATATAATATTCAAGAATCTAGTTCGAAACATAAAATCAATCTCGCGTATCAATTTTAGATTCTGAAGAGATTTGTGGTTAATATGTCATGTATATACGTAGTGAAATGAACAGCTATCGAGCGGGGAAATGAATGAGTTTGGTCTTAATAAATACGATGTCTATTTTGATTATTCGATGAAATCATTGATTTGATCGATTGTTATAGAGGCAAAATATATTTTCGAGACATTTGAAATAAACAGCTCAAATATCATAGTATCATTTATTATTTGCGTTTAGTATTCTTTGAAAATTGCTTCGAGTTTCCGCGTTTTCCAGTTTTATTGCCCAGTAATGCTTGACGATCGATTTAAATATGATTATTTCGTAATGATTCATGATGGCGTACATTGTAAAGATGTTCTACCGAGGTACAGCGCTTAATTTCCGCAGCAGTGCATTTGTTTGAAAAATCGCATGGAATAAATAATATATGAAACGGGTTAAGGACAAGAAAAGAAATGAGGGGACGAATCGTGAAACGAAAATAGCAATTGGATAGCAACTGTTTAATAAAGTTTCAATAGTCGGATCCCACATTATATATGTGGGGGAAATTCGACAGCCGCTTTCCTTATTTTTTCATCAACTTGTTTTTTCTCCCGGCCGGTCGGCTCGAGCGCGTGCATATTCGAGCAGCTTGATCCACGCGAATGAATTGTTCGTGCAAGCATATCCCCGCGATACATATTTATATATCGGCTACGTATAGGCAGTATATAGACTTGCGATTAGGACGGTTCCCGTTACAGCTTCATAATATTTTGCGTTTATTTCGACTGTGAAAGACGGGGCTCTGCCTGCGTGGTCCGATCGCGAGTTTCGAGAATATATTAAAGTTAAATTTTTATACAAAACTCTCACGCAAGTCTATTACCGCCGTTGACGCACGATCGATAATTTGCGAGGTCCTCTGTGCGCACCGTCCGTTGTTTAACTCGTCGTTTCATCATACCGCCCGAATTTCGCGTAAAGTAATTCGCATTCGATATTTTCGACGCTCGCGACACTTCGCGAAAACGACGTTGAAAGTGTCGTCGTGAAGCGGTGAAGCACGTGAATTCCCTTTATCTCAGGAAACTATATTTCTTAGGAAGAAAGTGATGCTGATAATGTGGGTGCCTGCGTAACGTAAGAGTCCACGTAAGAACGCGAACGAAGAAGTTTCCGAGGGAATCGTGAACACAGAATTTGCACGAGTTGACGTGAACGCGTCGTTTAATTCTGCCGACGTTTTCATTCTTGAATCGGGTAAAAGTTTGTAAACGATGCTTTCACCACTTATTTCCGTCAACCTGTAAAGAAAGTTCCGCTAGACGGAAGGCACCACGACGGAAAGTTAGAGAGTAGTCGGGCTAATAGGTGTCATTAACGATTGTGTGGTATCTATTGTCACAATGGAGAAAAGCAGAAGATGACAGCTGCTGACTGCGAGTTCAAATGGACAAAACGACTTCACGCTTTGTCGCGGAAACGAGAAAAAAAGACAAAGTAAGATTCCCGCGATTATATAAAAGCATTCGCTGTAACATTAAAACGTTACTTCGACTCGAAACATTCCGAAAACCCGGTGCCTCCGGTATTCCGACGATAATTCTAAGAACTGAGTATTTTGCACGATATATTATCCATCTGCCTGGTACATAAGATTTGATATCTTGTAGAAAAGAAAAAGAGACTGATCAATTTGCCTGTGATTTCATTAAGCGACAAATCAAAGGAAAGTGATTCTATCTGTCACAGAGATTTACAATCTCTTTTGACGACCTATTGATTTCGCGCTCTCATATCATCGAGAAGAATGTTAATAAACGCGAGAGTGTTTGTCATCGCCGCGCTGATAATATGCATTGTGTACGCTCGCACCACTGACAATCCAGATTCTTACAAGGAAACTAGTAATAAGAAATATGGTAGATCGATGTTGGCTGAAATAGCAAAGGAACTCGTGCAAAGATCGACCACCGGTAGTCAGGTAATCAGAGTTATATTAAATGAGGCAATAATTACCACCTTAAACATTTTCAGAAAATAAAAACATTTTATTGGTAACTAGACAAAAAATGATAAAAAATGTTACATTTACATTCTACAGAATATGTTTAAAGTGATTATTATTGATATCAATACTATTTTTATTAAATGTTTCTTTTTCTGCTCAAATATTTCGAAGATATTCAAGATGATAGTTATTGCTTTCTCTGTATATATAGATATACGTATATTATTTATGTTTACTTATATTATTATATTATTTATATTTACTTTTCTCTCCGAATTTCATGTATATTGTTATCGATCTGTTCTTTATTGACGCGCAGAGCTTGGAAAAATATACATGTTACATAAAATAAATATATGCTATACATTCCAGAACTTTTAGGAATCGGTATATTAATATATATTAAAATATTTCTATATAAAAATATTAATAAAATCTTTAGAAATGTAAAAATATTACAACGTTCATACAGTAAGACTTTGCTAAAAAATCAAAATTGTTTAATAAAGGACCATAAAGATCCAAAGAACAACTCTTTATGGTTTTTTACTCAAAAATTATAACATTGCAATTTTAATAAAATTTTCCACTATATTTCACTATACAGATAATTGAAATTAGTCCGGTTTAAAAGAAAACTGTGATTTTACAGGTGCTCAATTTAAATTTATCGAATCTACTGTTACTTCTGGTCCTCAAAGCGGTTGTGTTCGGCGCCGGTTATTTAGGAAATCACGGCTACAAGGGTCGCGAATTACAGGATGGTAATTTCAACAATCCTTAACGATTACCTGAATAGGTTTTTGTGTTAAACCTAGATATACTATCAGGATTAATTTGACTTGATTTAGTTTTAAAGTTTCTTCTTTGAACAATACTTATTAATTATAAAATTTTATATTTTATGACATTCATATACTTTCTTAGAAATTTGCCATTGAATAAAAAAAATTCATTTTACTTTTCTTAAACAAAGTAATTACTTATTTAATTATTTATAATTATTTATTCATAATATTTATAATTTATTTATTAATTATTTAATTTATTTAATTTAATTAATATCATGGTGATGTATCAAAGATTAAATAATGTTTTATTAAATAACATAAAAACAATAATGGACGGTACGATCAATAATTCCAATCAAAGTCGGAATAAATTTCATTCATTTCAGCTAATTACATTTCTAATTGATTTATTGTGTATATAGCCAGACGATTAAAGGTAATATGTTTTACGATGTATTATCCTGTTTTCGATAGGTCAATTTGTTTTTCTATTTACAAATTTAGGAAATATATTTTCCCATAGGATATGGGATGCATTATAAAATTTATCAAAGAAAGGTGTTACAACTTTTAATCAACTGACTGTGTGGATATACAGTCGATAGATTAAAATTTGCCCCTTTTTTCAGTAAGTTTTGCAACGTATCTTGTATTCAATAGAAAAATGTATCTGCTAAGAATTATAAAAAAAGTAAATTCTTTTTATTAAACATGGGATGCGGTATGAAACTCATCGAAAAAATAATATTGCAACTTTTGATCAGTTAACTGTATGAAACTTCGATCGACATTTTCTGTCATTCCTTATCTTTCTATTCGGATATGATATTACCGATCATTCTTATAGATTCAGCACGATCGCGGCAGTATAATGAAATAAAGTGCATTAGTAATAATTGCCTCAGAATGTATTCTGCCTGATCGTTTAACAATGGTGTTGTAAAATGTGAGCTTTAGCAATAAATAAGATTCCCTGTGGATAAATTTTTTTTAAGAAACTATAACTTTGTCTGTAATACTATATTTCATTTGATAAAGTTTGTTTACGTTTTATTAAAATATATCTGCAATAGTGCTATCATTAAACACAAATATTTATATTTTTTTAGATATTATTATATATATAATTGTTTTAGACTGACATAAGACTTTATCCTATATTAGACAACAGAGTTCATAATTTGAGAAAGTCATTTTATTATATAATTTACATTAAATTGTAGTAGATTTTAAAGAAAACACAAATGTTTTCACATTTTTATTATTTTAGTTTGCTTGCATACTATTAAAATGTTAACTTTATGTTAATTTTAGGTATTAACAAACAGTAAATGTTAATATAAAAGCTGCAACATCATGTAGAAAAGTTAAATTTAAAACATTTTTAATTTTGCCTTTAAATTTGCCGATAAATTTTGTAACGAACCGCTTTTCGGCGTCGGTCGTTCGTTGCTTCTGCAGTCGCACATTTTGTTCGTCGGATAACAGGTTCGCCGGAAAGAAAGCGTAAATTTTTGTGTGCTTATAATTATGTGTCAGATCGGTGCGCTTTATTATGGTCTTAATACATGTTATGGTATTAGACAAGGACAAGCTATAAAATACTGTCGTCATACATGATTCCCCGCCTGAGTCGGTCGCTGTTGACAATCTTTCTCATATGCGTGAAGCGGGCCAGACACGGTATTCGCGGGGCGCGGTGAGGCATCATGGTTCGATCGTGAATCAACGCTAGCGGCTATGGTAACGGAACGAATAGCGCGACGAATGGGGTCCTCGTCTGCAGAGTGCGCGTATGTTTCTGCCTTTATGGCGATCGGTACTCATGGTAACCACTCTACACGGGTCCAGCGGATCGCGAACAGATGACTCTCGATAGAAATTGGTACGATCGGAAACGGATCGAGAGTTGGGCGTCGATAATTCGGTACGGACGGCACGATACTGATGCGGACGACTTCGCTTATGATAGTGCGCGGTGTTACGGCGGCGCAATCCTAACGGTACAGTACTGGAAACGGAAAACGGACATAGTTGGTGGTTTCAATCGGCGCGGACGGAACGAGCGGAAACGGTTCGGACGTCCCGGACAGTGAGACAGTGCGGACGAATAGTGTCGGCATCTAGTCCCTCCGCTTGGCACGGATGCCTCGGACATTATCAAGAGCCTGCAACAGCATGACAAGGGGATAGCGAGTACGCTGACCCCCTATTTTGACAAGCCCGACTCGGCGTTGCAGTGGGGACGGTACGGTGTCAACGTCGAAATACTTTGTCGCCTCAAAGGAGTCGCGCGCCCAGTCGAGAGCCTGCAGATACGAGATCTGTTCAAAAAGTATCGCGAATTTTGTGTTTTTTCAAAAATTATTTATTTATTCATGAATATCTATTTTGTCTTCTTCAAAGTAATCCCCATCAGATATTATACACTTGTGCCAACGTTTTTTCCAATCCTCGAAGCACTTCAAAAAATCATTTTTTGTGATCTTGTTCAGCTCCTCCTTTGATGTCGTCTTTATCTCCTCTATCGTAGCGTAGCGTCGTCCTTTCATGTGCCTCTTCAGTTTCGGGAACAAGAAAAAGTCAAAGGGGGGCCAAGTCTGGGGAATACGATGGTTGCGGCATCATTAGTGTGTTGCTTTTGGCCAAAAATTCACGCACAAGCAACGATGTGTGAGCAGAGGGGCGTTGGTACGAATTTTGCGACAACCCGTCTCATGCCCAAATCATTAGTAAAAATCGAATGGCACGAGCCAATCGATATGTTTAGGTCCTCAGCAACTTCTCTAACGGTGATTCGACAATTGGCCAATACTATTTTCTTCACTTCATCAATGTTTTCGTATGTTGTTGACGTGCTCAGGCGTCCGGCACGCTCTTCGTCGTTCACATCTTCTCGGCCCTCTGAGAACATTTTGTACCATCGATAAACGTTGCTTCGGTCCAAGGTAGCTTCACCATATGCCACAGTCAACATTCGGAATGCGTCCGCGCACTTAATTTTGTTTTTCACACAAAATTTTATACAGATTATTTGATCCATTTTTTGGAATAGGCAAAAATCGAAGACGAGCCAAAACACGTCCAAGCAAAACAGCTGTCAAAGATAAACTGAATATTCAAAATGGCCGAACTTGTCGGCATAAGTGAGGGACATGAGCACCAACATAACGCCACAAAAAAATCGAAAATCGAATATACGTAACCCGCGGAAATTCAAAATTCGCGATATTTTTTGAACAGACCTCGTACATGGCGGAGATCACGAACATGCTGATCCTGGTTTCCCGACTGTCTATGAGCCTACGGTCGGAACTGACAGCAGTTTAGCGGAGGTGGCGTGCACGCTTACCCCGATTTCCAGGCCCATGCTTTGTGATGTGAGGATCGTCGCGGTGAAGCTTAGATCACTCTCGTCCCGATTTTCTGGTGGAACGCGCTTTTATACCGCTCTAATTCGGTACGCGACGTGTTGTTGCCTAGCAACACTCTATTTAATCAAACAACACGTGCGTACCACGTGTTGTTGTTTGTACGTTGCGAACACGTTCTCTTCGCGTGAAGATGTCGCGTATGTTTAAGAACTTAAGGTGGCGCAATGCGCCGTACACGGCCCGACAGATGTTCGGCTGGGTCGGTTTTAGTAGCGGTGCATTACTGCACTGTTACAATTTAAATAATGAAATAATGAAATATTTAAATAATTAAATTCAGATACTTGGATCATTTGCTTTTCCAGACAGCAGAATGTCTAAAATCGAAATATTTTAAAGATGTTTATAACATATATTTAATACATAATGCCTGTAAAATATTGTTAAGACGTCTTTAAGAAATTTTATTTCTCAATCTTGGACTTTCTGTTATCTTGGTATCTATGTTTGTATAAAAAATTTATCTTCCATATTAATATCATATTTTTTCTAAATCTTATTCTATTTCTTTAATTAAAGTTGGTTTTCTTCCCAAAATTGTAGTTGATGTTCCTTCTTCCAATGCTATTCCAAATTTTATGTCTTTCCAATATAGTTTGAGGGACAATAAATATTCATGATACCTTGAAACTCCCTAATTCTATTTTCATTACAACACTTATAACGGTTTTCATTGCTAAGAGGTCTATTAAATCTTAATTCTAAGAGATTTATTAATCTTTTTCTAGAAACTATCTGAAATTTAAAATTAAACCTTTAATATGGAATAAAAATAGCTCCTAATTTGTTCCCTATATTAATTTATCCCTGATTTCGCCATATTAAGAAATGCAGATAATTGATATTAGAATTTTAATGTTAACCTATTGGTTTGCAAATTTAACGTAATACCAGATTCATTCTTTTACTTGTATTTATATGACTATATTATATGACTATGATGTAAAGTAATTTCGATATTATTTACTTTGTATAAACTGTGATGAAATTTGTGAAAGCATTAAAAATATTTAAGACAACACAGAAAATGTTTTCCTGCATTGTATCCGTCACTTATTTGCTAGATACTAACGACGTCAAACATACAAAGAGACTACTATAAAGAGTTTAAAAAGAAACTCAAATCGCAGTACACTATGGTGATTAAAGCTGTTATTATGCCCTATATAAAGAAACCTCTCTATATTAGTAAACCTTATAGCAATAATTAAATTATAAGAATTGTGTAATTATACAGATTTCTTCGTCAATTTCAGAAAATATCGTATCGGAGGGCGAGATTGCCCTAGCTCTTGGATATCTGATCGGAGATACCTGTTTGTACAGAGCAGCTTGCGAAGAACCGCATGTTGCGAGAGAATACCTCGGGGCGGCGGAAATGCTGTTGCAAACTATGAAATTGATGCCACAGTACGTATAAAACAAGTCGTATAATAATAAATAAGAAAGGCAAGTCATGAGAGCCGGCTTTGAGCAAACAAAGCATTCTGCTGCGAAATTATTCAATGTTCTCTGCATTTTCCAAAAATGTAGAGTATGCTATTTTCGGTAGACGCATTATGTGTTGGAAAGTTTCCAATATTAATGTCAACGGGATTTGGCATAGCAAAAGTTGACTTGCAAATTTCGTATTTTCGCAGAAGCTTACTTACTGAATACGATTATGAGAAGATGATGAGTGAATTCCGAAAGGCGATTGAGTATGGTAGCATCCAGCAATGTCCGTTGGAATACAGCTGCAAGAAAGACGATATAAATAATTTCTTCCGAAATGAAAAAAAATAATCCGTATTTTAATATTGTTCGAGAATCATCAATCCTATATATCACTTACATCTATTAGTAGGCTAAAAAAGTAGCTATTATAATAAACTTATAAATTTTTTTGAGAATTATTAATATTAATTTATTTTTTAAAGGATTAATAATTATTTAGAAACAAGATAACTTATGTAGAAAAAAATACATTTATATATACGAGGATTGCTACTTATATTTCTGACCTAATAATGAAAAACAAATATTTATGATCGAAATTGGTTTTATTGTTTTTCAAAATATTCTCCATGATGATCAATACACTTTTGCATGCGTTTGAACCAATTTTCGAAGCATTTTTTCCACTCCTATTGAGGTAACTGCAAAACATGCGTTTTGAATGCATCAACCGCTTCTTCGGGTGTCGAAAATCGTTGACCACGTAATTTATTTTTGATGTGCGGGAACAAAAAAAGTCATTGGGTGCCAAATCAGGGCTGTACGGCGGATGACCCATCAATTCGATGTTTTGGCCGGTCAAAAATTCTTTTGTTTGACTCGATGTGTAAGAGCTCGCATTGTCATGATGAAGAATGATTCGCCTCTTTTTCTGCTTTTCTCGAATTTCTCCGATGACTTCTGGCAAACAAATGGTCGTGTACCATTCAGAACTGACCGTCCTACGGTGCTCTAACGCCACTGTCGCCACGTGACCGGTAATGCCGAAGAAACCGTTTGCTTCGATGTGCTTCTTCCGCGAACAACTTTTGTTGGATTTGACTCGTCTTGGAAGACCCATACAATCGATTGTTGTTTTGTTTCAGGCTCATATGCATAGATCCATGATTCGTCACCTGTGTAGATGTTATATACAGCCTTTGATGCACCTTGAACGTATTTTTTCAACATTTCCTTGCACCAATCAACACGATGCTTCTTTTGAGCGTTTGTCAAATTATGCGAGATCCAACGTGAACAAATTTTTTTTACGGACAAATGTTCATGCAATATCTTATTGATGCTTGTCATACTAATGCCCAAAGATGCCTCAATCTCACGGTATATCACATGACGATCTTGCTTTATCAGTTCACGCACATCATCGATATTTTCTGGCACAACAACCGATTTTGGACGATCTTCACGGAATTCGTCCTGGAGCGAACGTCGGCCACGATCGAATTCGTTATACCAGTTTTTTACAGTGCTGTAGGATGGTGCTTTCTCGCTGTATAAAGAATTAAGTTCATCAATGCACTCTTGTCTTTATAATCCACGTCGAAAGTTATGAAATATAATCGCACGAAAATGTTCACGAGTTAATTCCATTTTTTGCCCGACATGAATTTTTCAATTCACTGTAAACAACACAAACCGCGCTCAAATGATAATGTGTTCTTATGTTCTTATGTTCAACAATGTCAAGTTTCCAATGATAATGTCAGATGGCGCCTGGCAACACTTACTGCTACCAAGGCCAGAAATATAAATAGCTACCTACGTATATATACGAGGGTGGTTTGGAAAGTCCGTGCAAAATCAGAGAGATGGCATCACTGGTACGTATCAAGGTCATTTTCAGTTAGTGGCATCTCTTGGAAGAACACACACCAAGTTTCAGCCAGATCGGCATATTTCTCTGTGTTTGGCTTTCGTGTGAATCGAGGAAGTCGAGTGATTTCCAAAAAATGGATGAAAGAGAATTTCGCGTGTTGGTCAAACATTACTTTATGAAAGACAAATCGCCTGAGAAGACTAAAGAGAAGCTTGATAAATATTATGGTAAATCTGCAGCTTCGATTATAACAGTTTATAAATGGTTTCAAACATTTCAGAGTGGCCATATGAGCACAAGTGACGCTGAACATTTTGGACGCTCTTTTGAGGTTAATGCTCTAGAAATCATAGATAAAATCAACGCCATGGTGATGGATAATAGAAGAATGAAGGTGCGTGAGATTGCTAGTGCTGTGAGCATCTCGAGTGAACGGGTATATAATGTTTTGCATCAACAATTGGGTATGAAAAAGTTATCCGCAAGATGGGTGCCGCGATTGCTCACAGTTGACCAAAAACGAAATCGTGTAAGGTGTTCCAAGGACAGTTTGCAGCTGTTTCAACGAAATCCACAGGACTTTAGGCGTCATTCCGTCACTGTGGATGAAACATAGATACACCATATCACGCCTGAGACCAAGGAACAGTCTAAACAACAAATTATCAGCGGGAAATTTGCACCAAAGAAGACGAAAACCGTTCCATCGGCCGGGAAGGTTGTGGCGACCGACTTTTGATATTCGAAATGAATAATCCTCATTGACTATATAGAAAAAGGTAAAACTATTTATGACCCGGACCCCGCCGGTCGGTGGACGTTCGCCCTACCCCGGCCGGTGGAGTGGTCTTTCGGTGTCGACGGTCGACCGTATTCGGTGTCGGTGGCCCTGGCGTAACTCGCCGGATGTCCAGGCGTCCTTGTTGTGTGTGCGTGAGTATGCGTAGGAGTGGACGAGTGAATGAGCGAGTAAGTGAGTGAACGAGTATCCGGAAAAATAGCCGTTTATTAGAAGTATCCCACGTTGTCTTTACAGTTGTTCTTAGCGGCAGGCCGTGCTTTAAGTTTGTCTTTAAAAGCAGGTAAATAATGCGGTGACAGTATCGGCGACGAAATTCCGTATTTACTTTGTGACGCGGTCTCGACGGCTTAGCCGGTGTTACGGCGTAACAGTATTTCGCGGAATCTAAATAGAGCGGCCGCTTGGTGGTACTCGCGGCGGCAGCGGTGAGCGGGCGCGGTGTTGTTGTCACGGCGCGGTAACGTTTCGGTCCGCGTGTCGGCCCGGTGTTTTAAAGATCGCGGCGGTTACGCATCGGAGTGCAAGACGGCGGAATGCACCTATTCTACGCGGTGTCGCGGTACGCGGGTCGCAGTGATCGCTGCACGTGGAGTACTCGCGTCGGTCGACTCCCGGAGCGGAGCGCACGCGGTATTGTGCTTCCTTACAGGAACGGTGGAGTCGACCGGGCGAGCCTGGCCAACGTGCAGCCGGCGGCGGTAGATTCGTGGTTCGCGGCGGTCGGTGGTACCTCCGGTGAGGTGCGGACGGAGAGACACGTATCGTCTCTATATTCGCGGCGCGGTACGCGGAACAATATGATGATGCAATATCTTATTGATGCTTGTCATACTAATGCCCAAAGATGCCTCAATCTCACGGTATATCACATGACGATCTTGCTTTATCAGTTCACGCACATCATCGATATTTTCTGGCGTTCGCATGCCCCGGAGGCGCAAGACCCGATGACCAGAGTGGAGTGGCTGAGGTCGAGAACACTCAACAGAGGCGGCGAACACACCGCCCCTACTCGTGCCGATCCCCAAGTCCGTCACGGGCAAGAGGGCCGGGAGCTCCCGGTGGAGACGGCGAACACACCGACCCGAGATAGAGGTTTAGGAGTCCGCTGCCCGCGACTTCCACGGGAGAGATAGCGTACGCACTACCTCGGACGATCCGGATGGAAGGATGTTGAGTCGGCTGCGAACGCACAGCGGTGACGGTACACACCGTCGCTGTCCCTCGATTTGGGGATCGGGGTCTGAAGCAGCTTCGATCTTTCGATCCGGCTGACTCCGGCGGAATTAGGTCCCGAGATCGCGGCGGAGCGGTCTTTTATACCACGCTCCGTATGATGTTTCCGCCACGTGCGTGTTTGGCAACAACAATTGTTGTTGCCGGCGTGTACACGTGACGTATATGTGCGCCGCGCGTGAGTTTGTTTATGTCGCGTAGCGCCGTTTTGCGGCCGACGGATGGTCGGTCGGCCGCGGTGTTCGCCGGGGGGGATGCATCGTTACATATTATAGGTGCATATTATTCATCGTTATTGGACCGTTTGAAAACGTAGCTGCAGAAAAATGTTTACGAGTGGCCCACAAGAAAGTCTTTTTCCACCACGACAACGCACCAGCTTACTTCTTTGGAGTAGTGGCCGCAAAATTGATAGAGTTAGGGTTCCAGCATTCCGCCTATTCTACAGATTTGGCTTCCTTAGACTATAACTTATTCCTCATATGAAGGAATGGCTAGCGAAAAGGAGATTTTATTCAAACGAGGAAGTGATTGCGGAAACAAAATGCCTATTTTGCACAGTTAAACCAATCCATTTGTATTGGACGAAGTGTATAGGCCTAAAAAGAAACTTCATTGAAAAATAAAAAAAAGATTATTCCGAAAATTTAAGAAATGTTCATTTTTGCACGGACTTTTCAAACCACCTTCGTATATAGAGTGGAGAAAAATGATGGGTACCCCTGAATAACTTGGAAAATATGTTTTATAGAAAAATATTTCAAACAAAAGTTGTAAAGTATGTTAAGATCCATTTACTGATATTATCAGTTTGACCTGGGGTGGCGTCGCGAAACAAGGTTACCTTGAATATTTTAAATAGAACCTCGTAGATTTTATTCCATATTATTATAGCCTATCTTGAGTCCTTTCAAAAACATTATAAGAATGTATTTTTTCATTTAGTATTTTCCGAGTTAAGGCTTGAAAGTTGCAATACCGCCAACATTAGCACTGCCCAAAGTAGGTATAAGGACCCTACAATTCATCACTCTCGTAGTATTTTCTGACTTCAAGACCTCTCTGTTGTATTTGAGTGTGTGTGTGTGTGTGTGTGTGTTCGAGCGTGCGTGCATACGTGCGTGCGTGCGTACATAAGAGCGTACATAAAGGCCACGAGTTTCGTCAGTTCTCCGATATTTTACGGCTCCAAACTCTCTGCTATGTGAGTGTGTGTTTATAAGTGAGGTAGTGTTCAAACGGAGCTCCATTCTCTGTGACGCAAGCATCTATTGTGGTTTGTAAAGAATTGGTTGTTCGAAGAATTTCATCAGAACTAAGGATTGAATTGCTTCTCTTATTCTACGAATCATATCTTCCCTTGTAGTTTGGCGTTCACGGTATATCAAGTTTATTCCTGCCCACAAATAATAATCCTGGATTGCGAGGTCCGGTAATCGAAGTGGAAAATTGATCGGAGCGTATTTGTCTATCTATTATGAAGCATAGTATTATTTAGTACTGCACGGGCAACTCTCGATGTATACGACGGGCATTCATCTTATTGGAACCACATATCCTGACGTAATCGCAAAGGAAGATTTTCTAATAATTCAAGAAAATCTCTATCAAAGCTTAATACATCTATCAAAGTCTCTATCAAAGCTGAATATCTATTACCGTTTACATTTTTTTCAAAGGAAATAAGACCGACAATATGACTTTCAATAATCCTGCACCAACATTCACCTTCAAAATATGCTGATTATCTATTTCTCTCAACCAGTAAGGATTAACTTGCGACCAATAACGACAGTTTCACGTATGGATATTTTCATCACATTTGAATGTAGTTTCGTCAGAAAATAAAATTTTGTAATGAAAAGTAGGTACTTGTTGTCTAATCCAGTTGCAAAATGTAAGTCTACTTTGACAATTATCATTATTCACAACTTTGTGAAGAGACATTCGATGAGAGTGAAACTCGTTTTGACTTAAAATGCACTAGATATTGACACGACCAACTCCAGAGTCTATTTCTGGGCGATTCGAGAAGTCACGAGGGTTCAATACCGATGCAAGAATTTCTGCTGCTCTTTCAGACTTAATTCGACGGCGAATCTATCGACCCTTGTTATGTTGAGGCTGAACGACACCTTTGGTTTTGATTCGGTTAGCCAAACGTGAAAAAACGTTACGCGAGTGAGGAGTTCGATCAGAAAAACGCTCTTGCCACAATCTTTCAGCTGCAGCGAATGCATCTCGATATGCACCAAAAATTAGCAACATATCATAAGCATAGCTATGGCTATGATATGAATTAACCCGAATTGAATTATTTCGAGAGGAGGAATAGCGCGAGATCTGAGCGCGGGTCACGAAGACGACGATGGAATCGTCAGAGCGAAAAACGCCGGCATATTTGTGAGACGAAGGATCGGTAGACTTCGAAGTAGCAATCGTAAGCGGAAGTATATAGTACTCAAATAAACGTTGACGAAACATTCAAAAAATGATTACTTATCACCCCGAACATTATCGAAATCTAGGTGCAAAGTTTTGTTATATCCTGCATACTTCACGGACAATGAATTTTTTTGCTCCTTTCTTACAAACTCATCTTCTCTTGCATTCGGAAACAGACGCATTTGGCCAAGCAACACCCTGTAAAAAATTTTAATATGACTAGGAACATAGCCTAAGAGACCGACCAGATGTGGAAAGACGTTTGTCTGTCATAAAACTTAGACCCAAAATTTGTTCAGGAAATCTCGATAACGCACCACTAGATATATCTATTGTTTCCCAAAGCGTCTGTTCTGCGAATAATATAAAGTAAAATGCCATGATTAACTATCATTACGTTATAAAGTCGGAAAGATCATACGATCTTAGAAAAATAAACGTGTGACATCCCATCATAAACTGATGCAACTCACATTCAACATCTTCCTGTCATAAACTGATGCAACTCACATTCACTCCCACATTTGGATCACGCCACATTTCCTCCCTTCTCATCCAAAAAGGCGCAAAAACGCAGCGATCCTCTCTCACTCTCACGTCTTACGTGCGCTCTTATGATTTGTCAGCATTCTAAGAACCACCTCTAACCTGCTATCCACGTTTCCTCCCGAAGAAAGATACGTTACTAAAAAAACATAGATCCCTCTCTCCAATCGTAGGAGTAGTCAACTTCTGAGCAGCGGTCTTAAGGGGTTATTACCAGCTTATGCTCCCAAAAAAAGGCTTTTTTTATTATTCTTTTTGAGAAGGTATTTAAAATGAATGGTTTACAAAAAAAAATCCTATTGATTACTCATGTTTTTAATTACAAAAAAAAATTTTTTTATTGCAAATTATTTACAAAATGGCGGCTGTACAGTAATAACCTTCAGATCACTTTTTAAAAAGGCCTTCCGCGGCCGGCAGTAGAAGTCTCTTCCAGTTCAACCTAGAATAAAAAAAAATTTTTTTATAATCTACATAAGTTTATCTAGTGAAGTACACATAATTATATTTTTAAAATTTTTTTTCGCGAAATGGCAGAAGTTTAAACAAAAAAATTCATTTTTCGACGAAAAAAATCGACTTTAAGG